TGCAGACAGTACAATACAAATGCAAACACTTAGCAATTTATTGAGCAGCAGTAAACAGATTCAGTAGATTAAACCTGCTTTACTGATGTAAAACTGCACTGTGAGGAGGAAAACAGGGCCCAAGCGCGACTGAGCGACTGAGCGTGTCTGCCTGTGGGACAGAGCAGCCCGTGTAGGTGGGCCACACCCCAGCTCACCCCAGGGCAAGGGATGGGAGCAAAGAGTCGGCTCCTGCGTGGGAAGCAGTCTGTCAGGATGCAGGAGTGCTCTGAGCTGTTCGCCCCCACAGCTCAAGAGGAGAGAGGGAACCAGAAGACACTGATGAGATGATGATTTGCTTCCTCTTCTGTTCCCTGGGTTGGCAGCAAAAATCAGCGTTTGCCTACTCAGCCCTCTGACTCTTACGCAACCCTCATTTAACATCACTGTGAAGTTACTGAACTATTTTCCTGTTCTTGTTTTACCACTTAGAATTCTGCTCTACAAACCAAGCAGCACAGTACAGATGAAGACAGTAAAGTATGCCCTGATATGAAAACCCCAGAAATCATTGCAGTTACCCAGGGACCTACTTGTGCTGAACGAAACATTTCCTTTTCATAGTGAGCAGTAACTGTGCACATTCTTAGACTGGGCGTGCTGGGGGATGGTTTAGCCCAGTCCAGAGCTGCTGTGCAATGTGGAAGAGCACCATTTATGACTATGTGTAGTCTTGAGACAGAGCACTTAGCACTGGCCTTCTAAAAATCAGATAAAAGCAGTTGTTCCCCTACATCTTCCCCCATTTGGCTTGTCTTGGTACAGCAGAACGGTACCTATGGTAAACGTTTTGTTTCCATGCTACAGAAGAAAGCTCCACTTCTGGTAACAAAACTTTGTTAAGGAAGACAAAGAGCAACTCGTGAATGGGTGGTTTGATAATGTACAGTGGTACTCCTTGGCTTTGGCTTCTAGCAACTGCTGTCCCCACCAGGAAATGAGATTCTGCACTCAAGTTGCACTTAACGCTGGCCATGCTGCGTGACCCCAGTGTATGGGAAGGTGTCCTGTTAGTGACAGATTCCATGCCTGCTGCAGGCTGCACAGAAACACTGAAGTAGCTCGTGTGCTGACACAGAGAGGTCATGATAAAACAAGGTTTTTTCCCATTCAGATTTTCGCCAACTTTGGCATTTGCTTCCCTGTTGGATTTCGTCCACAGATAATGTAGGCAGTGAAGTAAGGTTCCGTTTTGTCATGCCTTTTTTATCTTTAGGGACTTTTTTTTTTCTTTTCTATTTTAACCTTCTAACAGAATAGGAGAGCTTCCTTTTCTTTTGCAGGAGTTTGCTCCGCGTGTAGTTGTCATGTACTTCATCGCTGCTGTAGCTTTTCTCTTCTATATTTCCAAAGTTCCAGAAAGATACTTCCCAGGTAGGACATTCTCTTCTGGGTGGTTTTTCTGCAGTTGAGGTTCCTGTAGTGTCACAGTCCTTGCTGTGAGTCCTGAACTTCCTGTGAGAGAACAGGTTGACCATGTTCCACGCAAAGTATTCTAAAGTAGAGCAAAACTTTGCATCACAAGAAGGCAGAGAACTTCTGATGGAGTTCAATAAAGAACTCGCACTGCCTTCCAGCAAGTGGAGGGCATAGTTGAGCTTTGGAGGAGACTGATTGCTAATTGCATTGCGCGAGTTAGTTGGTGCCAAACTTAACCACTTAACCGCTTGCCCTCTGTCTTCCCCACAGGACAGTTGAACTACCTCGGCTCAAGTCACCAAGTATGGCATGTCCTTGCGGTGGTGATGCTGTACTGGTGGCATCAGTCCACAGTGTACATCATGCAATATCGGCACAGCAAGCCCTGCCCTGAGTATAGCGTCGACTTATGAGTGAAGGTATAGCAGTTCTCATGCTGGTGGGAATAGGAAATTCTAACAAGAAGGGGGTTAAGTAATCCTGGTTTTAACTTGTCGCAAGTTTGACTCACCGCCCTAATTAGCTTCCCCAAAGAAAACATTGATGGGTGTCATACCTGCTGTAAATACAAGTGCTGGGGGCCGGGCACTCTACTTATGCCTGCTGCAGAGTCGCAGGAGGCTGCGCCAGGCTGCAGTACCCTTGAGCAGAGTTTTAGAGCAGGCTGGACAGAGGTCTGCCAGATCCCCTTCAGCTCCGTTTCACCATTTAATAGCCTCAAGCTGCCATAGGGGTTTGTTCCCAAGTAGCCTTTTCCTCAGGCTTTTGTGAGGTTTTCAGCCTACTGAGCATAGATCTGGATTTTTTTGGAAATCAGGTAAGAGCTGATAATTTCATATGCTGAGTAAGTAACGAAACTCGTTTCCCCGTTGTATTTCAGAGGCACTGCAGTGAAATTTCTGACTTTGAGGGTCTAGACCTGAGCTTGTGAGCTGAGCTATGAAGTTAAGCACTGAGGCAGTTCCTTTGCTGACTTCTGGAATGTTACCCGCTTGCTGGGACAGTATTATTGTTAGTAGTTTTGGAAAAAACCAACAGCATTGCCCAGGATCCAACTTTCGTTTGCTGTTCTGCAATCAAAACAGGTCTTCCTGGAGCGGGTCTGTAAAACTTGGCACTCCGATCACAGCAGTATTTTTTCGACTGGTAGACACGAACTACAGAAGTATTACCCTTGCTGAGCTAACAGGCCTGTATACCAGGTTTTCAAGTGGTGTTCAAGTGCATAACTAAGAAACTGCTGCAGACACCGTGTGTAAAACCATGGAAACATAGGACCTGGTCTTGCATCTAAATTGCAGCAGGACAGTGAGTTGCGTCCTTCAGTCTTTGTCTGAATGACGTGCTTATGCTTCAGCATCGGTACAGTAATGTATAAAATGGAATTCAGAGTGGGCTCTTGTACTTTTCTGGACAAGCTCTTTTCCTTTTTCTGGAAGATAAGATCACATGTCATCCACTGTAGCTACGTCTTCATTTCAGATCTTAAAAACTGCCTCCCCCAGTACGGTCTCTAGACCCCTTTGGTGGTTTGGAGTTAGTGCTCTAAAATATTTTGGGAGTAGCACTAAGCCTGGGTGTTCATGTTCATTACTATCTTGCGATCAGTGGAGTTGCTAAGAATTTTTTAAAGTTACATTTAACAAGGACAAAGAAACATACTGCAAGCAGTGAACCTGCCGGGGAGTGAAGCCACTGAACTTTGGCCTGTAACAGGTGATGCTGTTGTTACTGAACGTGACTTGCTGCCATCAGCTTCCCACTTTAAAGAGGGTGCCTTGGGTTTTAGAATCTGTCGTGAAACCGCCCCCTGCAAACTCAGCACTAGGGAGACGTGGAATGTGCAGGTTATTAGATCTCTATAGCTCAGTATGATTAAGCTCAGCAGGTGCCAGTTTTTTAAACAGGATTATTCTTTGCATCTTTGGTTAGAATCAACATTTTTAAGTGGCTTCTGTATAGCAGCTCCGTGTGCGTTAGCAGTTCAGTTGAGCAGTGGCAGCAAATGCTGCTGCTTCACACACTCAAGCGTTAGTCAGCATTAGCCACTTGGAGACTGCTTTGCGTGCCGTGAGATGCTGTTACGACTTAACCCAAGCGGTTCAAGTTTGGGACCAGAGCTGTGGAAGTATGTGACTGCATTGGCATGGCTCATGTTAGAAAGCAGGAAAAACCCCAACTCTCTGCTTCGACTGCCAGCAGAAACGTTCTGTTCTGGGATTATAAACTGCCCGAGCTGACCTCACTATGACTCCCCTTGGTACCTGCAGCGTGGCCTACGGTAGTCCCAGTATCTTCTCTCATGTTTTGTGAGCATCTGACAACAGGCAGCTTAGTGCACACTGACAGGGGCCTTCTAAGATCTGAAACCAGTTGTCTTGCACCCGAGGCCAAGGCACAGCCCAGCCACAGGTCGGGCAGCCTCAGGCAGCCTCGCTGAAAGCTGGGGAACATGAGAGCCCCTTAATGAACTGCTGGCCCTGCCCGTGCTACGCCATTGCCTCTTTCCTCTCGGGGAGGGTTTTCTCATGATGGGATTTAGCTTACCCTGAGGGGGTGGGGGCTGGCTTCTTGCAGTGCCCTCCTTTGGTCCCCCCAAAGCTGCCTCCTCCCCCGGCTGCTTTAGCCCGACTCCCTCAGCCCTTCTCATCAGGGCTGTGCCCAGGCCACACGGAATGTCGATGGGAACTGACTGTTGGGCAGTTCCTGAACACACATCGGGGATGGAGAAGGCAGGATCCTAGCTTACCTGCTGGCAGGCTGGGGAGGGATGTGAACTCTCTGTCCAGTGGGTTGTTTTGAGGTGGTTTTTTTCAAGTCCAGAAAGAAGTAGTGGCAAGAGCTGACTTTGCCTTTAAGATTCAACTCCCAGACCTTGGAGCCTTTCAGTGCAAACACTGATTTTTTTAAATTTTTTTTTTTTAAACTTGACAGCCAAGTAAGTTTCAAGTGCACTAATTACTATTACTACTACTGAAGCCTGACAAGGAACCTGCAAGTATGAAATCCTGTGTCCAGTGTTATGTGAATAATATTTGAAGAATGTGTGTTTGTGTATTGAAAGCATACTGCCTTGATAGTTTGCTAATGTATTTTTTTTTATGTAAGCTCTGAACTATTCCAGCAATTTTCACTGAGTAGGGGAACTGACTGCACAGCTGTACATTTTTATTACCCCAACAAAATTTATGAAGCTGCATCATGGTCTTTTTCTGTACATACTGAACCTGTAAATAAATTTCAGTTCATTGGATGTTTACTTGGAGTAACATCATTCTTGAGTCTCACAAGGTGAAGTGACACAGGCGAATTGCTCAACTCTTCCCCTGCACTTTAAATATACAGGAAGATGGTCTTGTGTGTGATCATGGCCCAGCACCGATGGGCAGGGTAGGGGCTGGAACTGCACTATTCTCGTATTGCATGTAGGATGTTCACTAGCGGTATTTAGTGTTCTGTGTGTGTTTTTGGAGAAGCATCTCCAGCTGAACCTGCTGCTGAACTCAGCTTTGCCACCCGCTGCCTTTAGGCAGTTTCCAAGCAGGGCCTCGGTCGCAGCTGAAGAGCTGTGGCCAGTGCTGTGTGGTAAGGAAAAGGAAAATCCCACGTCTGCTTCTACTGCCACAACAGACCCCTTCCCTTCCTCAACTTGGTAAAAGCGCTTTCGCTCTAACGGAAGTAGTTCAGCTGCCCACCACAGCCTGTGATGAGCAATCAAGCATTAGCAGTTAACGCTGCGAAAACAAAACAGAAAAACGTAGCCATCCCCTTTTAACGGCTTTTGTAACTACAGGGGCTGAAAACGGAGCAGCCCTCCATCAGAGAGGGCAGGGGCAGAACCGCTCCGGCCGCAGGCACGTCCTGCCCACACACGCAGCCGGCAGCTGCACCATGGCAGGGGTGACTCGGTACCCTCCTGTACAAGCACCCGTGCTCCTCCTATCACGCAGCGCACGGCCAGCACTCGCCCAACAGTTGTTAGCCGTAACCCTCAGGACTGCTGCCAGCCCTCTTGCACTCTGCCAGGCCTTTACCCTGCAGGCAGCATGCAGACTGAAAGGCCTCGTTGCCCATGAAAAACCTGTTTCAAGCAAGAATTTAACAGCTGCAATTGTTCAATTTTGTTCAAGCTGAAGCCTCCAGTTTGACACTTTTCCTGTGGATTTGCTTGTAACCAAGTTAGACTGGAACAGGCAGTCGGCAGAAGACAGAACAGCCAGGACACGAGCTACTCTTTAGTAACCGAGTCCCGCTGCCACTCCCATCTTTTTATGACAGTTTTCATTCTTTCTTCAGGTTACAGAAGAGGGAAATCAGTATAAGCAGCATTCAAAAAAACTGCTCTGGTAAACAACTGCTAGAAGGGGTCAAATCACGATAAAATCACATCTAGAAGATGAGGTGCAGAACTAAGTCTGGGGTGGTAGCGTTGGGTGCTGCATGCAACGCTCTGGCTATAGAAAAGGGTGCAAGCTTCAGATACTACCACCTAGGAGTCATAACGGATCCTCTCCATGCCCTTCTGCAGGAAGGCTTGGATGAGTACTAAAAGGAGGAATTAAAAATAGTGCAGCATCAATAGGTTTTAACAAGTTGGGCACAGAATGATGACTGGGCAGCAAATACAAGTATTGTAAAACATTTTTTAAGTGTGACAGGAGCCTACAGCCACAAAAAGCAAGCGGCAGGAGCCGCTTCGCTTCTAGTGAGTAAATGAAAACCTAAATGTGAGTACTTAATAATGCGGTTTAAGGAGACCTGCAAAGTCACTGTTATCACGTTTGTTTATTTAACAACTGCAAGTATTTTATGACATACATCAGTTTCACAAAAAAAGTTAAAGTTCTCTGTTTAGTGGTACACAAAAAAGCTTTAGAAATTTGAAGTCTAACAAGAAATGGAAGTGTAGTTCAGGAAAGTGCACTTAAAAGCTGAATGCCAGCAAATTTAAAATAGTTTTTATGCTCTTTAATTAGGTGATGCTTAGTCACAAATTTAGCTATACACACAACTGCCTTGATTTTCCTTGTGAAATAACCACTACAGCAAAGTAACACAGCAGCCACCCTCCGCATGTTTTTTCTTTTGCAGCCTTCACTCATACTCACTCCCTCAAGTCACACGAAAACGATTGTGGCTGCTATGTTACCCAAGACACAGCAACTCCAAGAGATACATGATGTGTGCGAGCATGTGTATCTTTTATATATACTTTTCATATATAAAAATACACGATATAGTATAAAAAACTCCAGATAAACTCTTATTCTCACAGTAGCAAATATATCAACTTATTTTCACAGTACTTGGTTTTACTAACTGGGACACCCAGAATGATTAAAAGTTATGTCCTCCACAGCTGGTGTTCACGGGTCCCACGTTACGCGGGTCAGCCAAAGCAACTGCATGCACCTCAAGGCTGTCTGAGAGTCTGCAGAGAAACATGACTATCTTATTTTTCTTCAACGACTGCAACCACTAAGGGCTTCTTAGCACCTTCTCAAGAATCTCTCAAGCAGCTGGTCCTAAAAGGCCTGTGGTTCAGCCACTCAACGTGCTGAAAGAAAAGCTGTAAAAATCAATCTATGTTTACGGTTGGAAGGGAAGAGTCAGCTCCTTACCGTGCCATTAGTGTCCTGGCAAACAGCATGGCACACATCTAGTGCAGCAAAGTCTTTCCCGCATTTCAGGTAAGGTCACGATACGCTCCGCAGCAAGCACGCACATGAGCACACACACACATCAAATACAGGCAAAAGGGTATCATGTTCCCCAACGGTACCACATTTCGCCTCTGCTGAATAGTGGATCTTGGCTGAAATGAAACCCAAAGTTGGGAGTAGTTGTGTATAAACGATACATACCCCGCCAAGTCATCTTAGCGAGGCATACTGATCTCCTCTCAGCTACAGAAAAGGGTAAAATGACTGTAGCTCTAGAAAGAGAAGTTACGTTTATGCCCTGTTAACCTGCCATAACTAGAACAGAAGGAATAAGGTCCATTAAGGCAGGTAGAAAGCAAACATCATCAGCCATAACTCATGTGCAGCCAGAGGCACTACGCCAGTTCTAGAGTAACCTGGGTTTACGGTTCGCATTCCTCTTGTCTCTCAGTTTGTGTACAACCTCACTTCAGCTCCCCTGCACTGTGATATAACTGCTTACAGACCCTCTGCCCAAAACCCAACGCGCCTGCCACACAAGGGAAGCCTGTAGCGCTCCTCAGCCTGAAGGCTCAGGGTCAGCGGACAAAAACCAAACAGACTCCCTTTTACTCTTCATTTACCTCAATATTTAGGCTCAGGCCAAGCCTGGGATGCACAGCCTTTTCCCTCTCCTCTCGGGCAGCCAAGCCAAGCCCCAGTCCCACGCACGTTGTGAACCCTCTCCTCTGGCTCCAAATGGCCAAGCAACCCCCAAAGTTGCTTTTCCACCGGGGAAAGCAGCAGCTGCGTGGTTTCGGCAAGGACTAGCCGTGTTTAAGGCCATGGGGCAGCTGCCTGTTGTTTTAGTCTCGGTTTCTACCCACCTGCCCCATGTGTCCTACCATTCTGTTCCAACAGCTCCTTAGGCAAGTGATTAACAGGTCAGCAGTAAACTGAAGCAAGTCAGCTCATAAGCACGCCGCGAGGTGCAAAAAAGCCCCAAACCACCCCAGTTAACCTGAGGATCGGAAAATGCTACAAAACTCGGTGTGTGCTTCTTACAGCCTTTGGCACAAGAAACCAGGTGAGAACAGTGGTAATAAAGCCCAGGAAACTCCTGTGCAAACAGAGTTGAAACATTTCTACTTCTAACCTCCTAAGAGCTTCATTTCTAAGCCTGAAAAAGGTATCCTTAACCATGCACAGCTGTACTATTCCACTCTCACCCTCTGAGAAAAATGAAAACGAGGAAGGTAAAGGGAATGAAGGCGTACAGATACGTAGGAGCTACTTGCAAATTCCAGGGCTAGGGAAAGCAATTTCACATATATCTGAGGGAGCGCTCTACCAAACCAACCCCCAAAGGAGGCAAGTGACTTGCTTTTAACGTGGTGTTTTCAAGAAATGCTGTGAGGGATCCATGCCCCACCTTCACAGGTATCAGGACAACTGTATAACCAGCAGGAGACCTGGGAAAAAAAGTATTTCACTTTACCTCCTGGGAAAGGGGACACACACACAACACCACCAACGCTTCCGTCCCCCATATATAAACATCCAATTATCTACTCATCAGCATTCAGCAGAGCAGGACAGAAAGCTGAGACAAGCAGAGGAGCTGCCTCCTTCCACTCCCTCTTTTGAACCGCCATGGAAAACGAGCAGAGCAAACGGGCCGTCCTGAGCCGTGCTTGCTCTGCAGATGGGGTACATGGCTTGGCACAAGTGGCAAGGCAGCAGAGAAGCCGTCCCGCCTACACACAGCACGTACTTCTACAGCACGGGAATGAAATCTTGTCCTCACCAGTCTGTTCACATCACCTTCCCATCACCTACTGGCACCGCACGCTCCCAAGCTCTTCGCCACGTCTCGGGCACCTACTGTCTCAGAGGTACTGTGCAGCGGGACAGGAGTCCTGCCCGTAAGGCTTCGTGGTGTGAAATGCAGATTACTGGCACAGGAGCCATGAGCACCTGCAGGCTACCTGCTGCTTACTGCTCCTGTTCCAGAACAAATCCGGGTTCAGAGAAGTTTCTTCAAAGCTCAGTGCATTTAGCAAAACTTTCTTATCAAATACACTAAAGTACAATAATAGATTCATCAGAACTTAGAAGAACAATAGGTTACAGTAATTTCATAAAATTATTATTGTTTTAAAAAACAACAGGTTTGAAAGAACACACGTTTTCCCTGCAATAAAATCCAAGAGGACAAGGAAAGGTATTTGCAGACACAAATCCCAATCTATAATCAACTAAATCTGACGGCTGCATCTCACAGTCAACTGTAGGAGTCATCTGAAATACTCCATATGTGCCAAACGATTTCCTGGTGTAAACCAGCCTCTCTTCCCAGCGTACTGAGTAGTCTTCAAAGTGCTGCAAACACTGGCTGCACCCCTGCTGGTTTACTCTCCTACATTCAGGCTTTTCATCTTACAAACCATTACATTCTTTATCTTTAGTTTTAACTCTCACCTTCCAGTTTGCTACTTTACATTAATGGCACTTACTGTAAAAAAAAAAAAAAAATAAGTAATTGAACGTTTAGGCACACACACACAAAAAAATCCACCTTTCATCTCTGCAGCTGCATAGATGTCTACCAGGTCCCAAGCCACAGCTGTGCTCTGGAATTCTGGGCCACAGCCCCTTGAGGACTTAGCTTCTTTGTTTTTATGATTAATAAAGGTAGTTTTCACCTAGGAAGCAAAGACTTGACTATTTCCAGCAGATCAATCCAGGTATTAGTACATTTTGGTTCTCAAGTCTTCCGCAACCAAGACATGAAGAACCACCGCAGTTCCACTGCCTACCTGTACGTATGGAAAACGTCTCTGCCCGTCCCCCTCCCTCCATCTCAGCACATCACAGAGGGCTGAAAAGGCAACGCAAAAGTGCAGAACAACAGTATGTTGCAGGGCCCAAAGTCAGTGACAGATAATAACTCAAATCTGATTTCTCTTTTCATTCTGGGAGCCATCTGCCATAACAAAGCAATGCTCCTGGTTTGTTTTTTCTACTTCTCTCCAAAAAACACCCATAAAAATCTGCCATCATTCTCAATTTCAGCGTGCAAGCTGGCCATGCCTTCTTGAACTTGAACAAACTGTACAGTACAACCCAGGTCCCTGTCAATTCAACCAGAGAAGTTACTCCACTAATTACAACCTCTATTAAGTAACTCGGAGAGGTGGAGGGGGGAACCCATTGGAAGCATTTACTGTTTGGAAGGAAACGGAGCTGCTCCAAAGGGATCTAACTCTAGCGCCTGTTGCTGCTGGCCCTGTGCGCTCTGAACAACCAGTTCTGTGAAGGGTACTGCACCAAAGTCATCTGTTTTCAGCCCGTCACCACCATGAATGGCTCCGTGCAAGGAGCTCTGCCTAGGTCTACCAGCCACCACCACCGTGCTGTGATCCCCGCGGCTGTCACCAAACCCTTGATGCTGGGGATGCCGCATCAAGTCCGGCGGGTGGAAGGGTTTGGCTCCAAATGGGTCCAGCAGACTGTCATCTGTCTGCAGAGAGTTGCTTCGATCTTTGCTGTCAGTCAGCGCGACGCTTATGTTCTCTTTGGAGTCCGAGATAGTCAGGAACTCGTTGCTGCTCTGCGAGTCCCTGCGGCCTGCTTTCTTGTGCCTGCGGGCTCGCTCAGGGGTGCGGTAGCTCGGTTTCAATGCCTTCTTTGTGGTGGTTGGGGTGCCGTGGTGGCGCTTACCATTGTTCTTCGAGACCTCCTGTTTCATGCGCCTCTGGCGGGAAGAAAGTTTCTGCAGGTTACGCTGCTGCTTCACCTTCTGCTGCTGCTGACTGCCTGTGATCTCTTCAAAAGGAACCAGCCCAAACAGGTCCTCTTTACTCCCACCGGTCTTGGGGAGAAGGGAAGGCTGAAACGGGGTGCAGCCAAAAATATCGACGCTCCGTGGAGAGGCGGGAGAGAGCAGAGACTCAGTTCCTGCTACCTGGCCATCTTGCTGAGACACCTTTTTGCTAAAGGGGGCTTTTGTGAAAACGTCAAAGTCATCCTGCTCTTGGCTCAGGCTGGGAAAAGCCGTCTGTGAAGAGACATCTTTGTCCATCTTCTCACTTGCCTGAGGCTGTAGAGTAAAAAAGGGCACTGCCCCAAACACATCAACTTCTTGGCCAGGGTTCACCTTGATTACAGTACTTGGCACCTCAGAGAAGGATGTATGCATTGAACTAGGTTCTTTGATTTCACCGCTGCCCACACCATCTCTGAATCTACTGCTCAGGAGCCCTTCTACGGATTTTTGCTTGGTACGATCAGAATCGGAGTCAGAACTTTGCTTCTCTTCCTCCTCTTCCTCCACCTCTTCCTCAGAGTCCATGAGGAGAGGTCGGTGGCCTAAATTCTCTGGTTCCGTATCATTGTCATCATTGAAGTCTCCATTCTCCCCTTGCAAGACTTCTTCATCTTCCTGCTCTTCTTCTTCCTCACTGCTCTTGGGAGACGGAGGATCAGATTCAAAATCACTCTCTGACTCATCTCCACCTTTTGTCACTTGGCCCTCTGCAGTCTTCCTCCCTGGCCGGGGATCCCTAAAAGCATGGCTCAGTCTTCCAGCCTTGGTTGGGGTCCCTAAATTATTTCCTTGATTGCTGGCTGAGTTATCCGCTCGTTTTCCAGGGGAACCTGTAGGTCCGAAGAAAAATGCAAAACAAAACTTGAGATACATGCTTGAAGTCAACACTTACCCCACACATGCCATAGAGACACATACCAAGAGTTGATGCAAACATACATTCTGTACTTAGTAAGGGAAATGAGCTACAATCAGACCTAATATTTCAAACAATGCTCAGGAAATTCAGTCAGACCATCTAGCTTTACTCCTCAAGCACAAGATGTCTCGAAATACAGTACTAGTATTTTGGGGGCATGGAGGAAGGGCCAACGGACACAGGTGATCTCTACAGCCAGCTTTTCAAACACTCTCATTATGCAGTCGCTCCTCTCCAGGGAAACATGAACTTAAAAGATTTTATTTTTTTTTTAATTATTTTTTAATAAAAAGTAGACTACCTATTTCTGGAAGTGCTTCTGCTTGATAGTCTGCTCTGACAAACTCATTGCTCTAGTCATGACAACAGTTGGCATAGGCAAAAGAAAAGTATCTAGTAATGTCAGATTAATTTGCTTCAGATCTCGGGTGCCACTTTACAGCAAAAACAGACCTCAGGGCCCGCTCTCCTGCCTACCAACCCGTCTGCTGTGATGCTTCTGTACACCAGAAAGGAAAAGCACCTTGTTGACAAACACATCCCTTAAGGCGCCTTTCGAAGAGGTTCTCCAAGACTGACCCACTGTTCTAAGGCTTTTACCATACAGTCAGATATGGGTGGCAATCCCGCAATACTTGGTGTAGTTTCAAAAGAGAAATGAGTGCATGACACCCTGTTAGTCCCCAGTCTTTCCTCTCCCAAGCTCTCATAGCACGAGATATTCCCACACAGTATCTCCAAGATAACTGGGTACCTCTAAGGTCTATAAAAATCAGGGACCGGGCAAGAGAGAATAAATGAGTTCCCGTCCAAGCTGCAGGAAGATGATGTGAGGTGACGATCTCTGTCCTCGAGGGCACCTACTCTTTACATGAGCTGAAGAAGTGGAACTTGGAGCCTGGCAGCAGCCACAACACGGATACAGGTTTGGGGGCGGGGGGGGTTGCCTCACTGGTGCATTTTGAGGCATCCAA